TCTGAAGAAAATGGGCATAGAAGGGAACTACCTCAACATAATAAAGGCCACATACGACAAACTCACAGCCAACATCATACTCAGTGGGCAAAAACTGAGCACCATCCCCGTGAAAACAGGAACGAGACAAGGATGCCCTCTATCACCACTCTCATTTAACATAGTACTGGAGGTCCTGGCCAGAGCAATCAGGCAAGAAAAAGGAATAAAAGGAATCCAAATAGGGAGGGAAGAAGTGAAACTCTCGCTGTTTGCAGACGACATGATCTTATATATAGAAAACCCCAAAGAATCCACTGGAAAACTCTTAGAAGTAATCAACAACTACAGCAAAGTTGCAGGGTATAAAATCAATTTGCATAAATCAGTACCATTTCTATACTCCAGTAATGAACCAACAGAAAAAGAACTCAAGAATACCATTCACAATCGCAACAAAAAGAATAAAATACCTTGGGGTAAATTTAACTAAGGATATGAAGGACCTATATAATGAAAATTACAAGGCCTTTCTGGGAGAATTGGATGACGACATAAGGAGATGGAAAGACATTCCATGTATATGACTTGGAAGAATAAACATAGTTAAAATGTCCATTCTACCTAAAGAAATCTACAGATTCAACGCCATCCCAATCAGAATCCCAATGACATTCTTTACAGAATTAGAACAAAGAATCCTAAAACTCATATGGGGCAACAAAAGACCCCGAATTTCTAAAGCAATCCTGAGAAAAAAGAACAAAACGGGAGGCATCACAATCCCTGACTTCAAAACATACTACAAAGCTACAGTAATCAAAACAGCATGGTACTGGTACAAAAACAGGTGCACAGATCAATGGAACAGAATTGAAAGCCCAGAAATAAAACCACACATCTATGGACAGCTTATCTTTGACAAAGGAGCTGAGGGCATACAATGGAGAAAAGAAAGCCTTTTCAACAAATGGTGCTGGGAAAACTGGAAAGCCATATGTAAAAGAATGAAAATTGACCATTCTTTTTCACCATTCACCAAAATAAATTCAAAATGGATTAAAGACCTAAAGGTGAGACCTGAAACCATAAGGCTTCTGAAGAAAATGTAGGCAGTACACTCTTTGACATCAGTATTAAAAGGATCTTTTCGGACACCATGCCTTCTCAGAGAAGGAAAACAATAGAAAGAATAAACAAATGGGACTTCATCAGATGAAAGAGCTTCTTCAAGGCAAATGAAAACAGGATTGAAACAAAAAAAACAACCCACTAACTGGGAAAAAATATTTGCAAGTCATATATCTGACAAAGGCTTAATATCCATAATATATAAAGAACTCTTGCAACTCAACCACAAAACATCAAACAACCCAATCAAAAAATGGGCTGGAGACATGAACAGACATTTCTCCAAAGAGGCACATGAAAAGATGCTCATCATCGCTGATCATCAGGGAAATGCAAATCAAAACTACACTAAGATATCACCTTACACCCGTTAGAATCACAAAAATATCTAAAACTAATAGCAACAAATGTTGGAGAGGCTGTGGAGAAAAAGGAACCCTCATACACTGCTGGTGGGAATGCAAACTGGTGTAGCCACTATGGAAAACAGTATGGAGATTCCTCAAAAAACTAAAAATAGAACTACTATACGATCCAGCCATCCCACTACTGGGTATTTATCCAAAGAGCTTGAAGTCAGCAATCCCAAAAGTCCTGTGCACCCCAATGTTTATTGCAGCACTGTTTACAATAGCCAAGAGGTGGAAGCAACCTAAGTGTCCAGCAACAGACGAATGGATAAAGAAGATGTGGTACATATATACAATGGAATACTACTCAGCTGCAAAACAGAACAAAATCATTCCATTTGCAATAACATGGATGGACCTTGAGAGAATTATGTTAAGTGAAATAAGCCAGCGAGAGAAAGATAACCTGTGTATGACTCCACTCATATGAGGAATTTAAAACTATGGACCAAGAACAGTTTAGTGGATACCAGGGGAAAGGTGGGGTGGGGGGTGGGCACAAAGGGTGAAGCGGTGCACCTACAACATGACTGACAAACATTAATGTACAATTGAAATTTCACAAGATTGTAACCTATCAATAACTCAATAAAAAAAAAAACTTGTTGGGAAAACTGGACAGCCACATGCAAAAGAATGAAGGTAGACGATTATCTCACACCATACAGAAAAATAAACTGAAAATGGATCAAAGACTTGAAGATACATCCTGAAACTATAAAACTGCTGGAAGATAATATCTGTAATACACTCTTTGACATTGCACTAAAAAGGATCTTTTCAAATACCGTGTCTTCTCAGACAAGGGAAACAAAAGAAAAAATATACAAGTGGGAGTTCATCAAACTACAGAGCTTCTGCAACGCAAAGGAAACTAGAATCAAAACAAAGAAACAACTCACCAATTGGGAGAAAATATTTGCAAATCATATATCGGACAAGAGGTTAATCTCCATAATATCTAAGGAACTCACACAGGTGAACAATAAAAAAACAAACGACCCGATCAAAAAGTGGGCAGAGGTTGTGAACAGACATTTTTCCAAAGAAGATATACAGATGGCGAATAAACACCTGAAAAGATCTCCAACATCACTAATCATCAGGGAAATGTAAATCAAAATTATACTAAGATACCACCTTATGCCTGTTAAAATGGCTATAATCACTAAGACTAAAAATAACAAATGTTGGAGAGAGTGTGGAAACAAAGGAACCCTCATACACTGCTGGTGGGAATGCAAACTGGTGCAGCCACTATGGAAAACAGTATGGAGATTCCTCAAAAAACTAAAAATAGAACTACCATATGACCCAGCTATCCCACTCCTGGGTATCTACCCAAACAATTTGAAATCAACAATCCAAAGTAGCATATGTACGCCTATGTTCATTGCAGCACTATTCACAATAGTCAAGACATGGAAACAATCCAAGTGCCCATCAACTGATGACTGGATAAAGAAGATGTGAAATGTATATATATATAAAAAACCCTCAGAACTCAACACTAAGAAATAACAAACAATCCAATTAAAATGGGCAAAAGACTTAATTTGAATAGATACTTCAATAAGGAGATATACAGATGGCAAATAAGTACATGAAAAAAATATTCAACATCATTAGCCATGAGGGAAATGCAAAATTAAAAACTCCATGAGCGCACCCAGCCCAGTGGTGTAGCAGTTAAGTTCTTGCGCTCTGCTTTGGCAGCCCAGGGTTCCCTGGTTTCGATCCCAGGCACAGACCCAGGCGCCATTTATCAAGCCATGCTGTGGCAGGCGTCCCACCTGAAAAATAGAGGAAGATGGGCACAGATGTTAGCTCAGAGCCAATCTTCCTCAGCAAAAAGAGGAGGATTGTCAGCAAATGTTAGCTCAGAGCTAATCTTCCCCAAAGGAAAAAAAAAAATGAGATACCCCTGCACACCTATTACAATGTCTATAATAAAAACATAATGACAGGGGCCAGCCTGGTGGTGCAGTGGTTAAGTTTGCGCATTCTGCTTTGGTGGCCCAGGGTTCACTGGTCCAGATCCTCGGCACAGACCTACACACCACTCATCAAGTGATGCCATGGCAGCATCCCAGATGGAAGAACTAGAAGGACTTACAACTAGGATATATAACTATGTACTGCAGCTTTGGGGAGAAAAAAAAAGAGAGGAAGATTGGCAACAGATATTAGCTCGGGGCCAATATTCCTCACCAAAAAAAATCAAACCCATAAGGACAATAACAACCACTGGTTAGGATGAAGAGCAACTGGAACTCTCATACATTGCTGGTGAGAATACAAACAGTACAACCATCCTGGTAAACAGTTTAGCAGTTTCCTATAAAGTTAAACCTAAATTTACCATACGAGCCAGCAATCCTATTTCTGAGTACTTACCATAGAGAAATGAAAACTTATGTCACACAAAAACCTGTACATGAATGTTTATAGCTGTTTTATTCACAACTGCCAAAACCTGGTAAAACAAACATCCTTCAACAAGTGAATAAACAAACTGGTAAGTCTAGACAATGGATTACTACTCAGCAATAAAAATTAACGAACTATAGATACATGTAACAGCTTGTATGAATACTAAGGGCATTACACTAGGTGACAGAAAACAGTCACAAAGTTTATACTGTATGATTCCAATTATATGACATTCTTGAAGTCAAAACTATAGTTATAGAAAAGCAATTAGCGGTTGCCAGGGGTTACTGGTAGGGGAGAGTGACTATAAAGTCTAAGGGAGTTTTTTTGGCATGATGAAACTATTCTGTCTCCTGATTGTGGTAGTAATAACATGAATCTATACAGCTGTTAAAATTCATAGAATCTATACCTTTAAAAGTCTATTGTAATGTATAATAATTTAAATAAAATTTTAAACCAAAAAATATTATGTAAGAGTTATATAAAATTTCATATGACAATATTATCTCAGCTTTGTTAAAAAAGACGCATAATAATAAGTACAGGAGGTAACTATCCAGATGAGAACTCTGGATATTTGGATTATGTTGATGTTCTTTTTCGGTGTTTTTTCCTACAGTAATAGGGGACTACTTTTAAAATCAGGAAAATAAAATTTGTTTAATAGAAAACTTTTTTTAGAACATTCATTCTAATTTGGAATACCCAGGAGTTCAGAGCATCAAATTTTGTTTCCACGACTACTTCTTTTAAAACTGTATATGTAAAATCTTTTATTTGTATGTTAAGGTTGAATTTAATTGCTGTTCAAAATGTCCTGTAAAATATTTAATGGTGGGAAAATTAAAAGTGGTTTTCAATGTTTTTTACATTATGGTATTTCAATGATTATATTGTTGAAAGCTTCCAAGGAAAATTTTTTTAATTACAGTTTTTAAAACCTCAAAAGTTTGAAAATATTCAATACTTAAAAATCTATAACGTATTTAACCCTATAATTTTCTTCTTAATCCTTTTTCCAATTAAAAAAACCATACACAACAGACAAGTATTTAACAGAAGGAATAAACTTGAAAAAGACACCTGTGCTGGATCTTTGATGCCTAAGACCTGTAACGAAGAAGGTAATGGTATCCAAGTTACCCAAAGTATTCAAAGTGTAACAGAAAAACAATATTTTAACTGGCAAGAGCTTTCACTAAATGAATAAATTAAGAAAACCTTGGGCATTTCTAGTTGGTGGTTATAAGACTGCTCTTGGTTGGTATAATATAAAATACCAAGTTACCTGATTATAACAAAGGCTTACATTTAATGAGCATACAAATAAATTTGGGGACCTCTTAAAATGTTGATTCTCATTCAGTATTTCTGGGGTGGAGCCCATGATTCTGAATTTCTAAAAAGCTCTCAAGTGATGTGTATGCTGCTAGTCTTGAGATTATACGTTGAGAAGCCAGGCTCTGCAAGTCACTGAGAAAAATGGCATGATTCTTGCCCAATTTAGTAAGAAAGAAATGTACATAGTAAGTACTATAACATAAGGCAGCCATGCGATATACTCCCTAAAAGTGGTACCATAAAAAAGCATGAGGAGGTAACAGAGGAATCACTTCCAGCCAAGATGTTCAGCTGAGAGGTGGCCTTCAAAGGTAAGTGGAATTTCAACATGCATAAGAAATTATGAAAATAAGACAGCACAAATGACACATAGATGACTACCTGTGAAGGGACAAAAATATTTAAAATCTGAATGTTCTCACTTTGTCCCCTTTTCCCTTTCCCCTAAAGATGAATCTAAGCTTGGCATACTCGTTTTCTTACCTTTGTCTCTGAGAATGGGTCAATTCTCCTAAACTAATAAGTTTTGGAGACTTTGAAATGCAAAATTTGGAAGAAATGAAGATACACAGAAGGACAAGAGAGGCATGTGGAGTTAACAGGCTTTATATTAAGTTTTTCTTCTGGATAGCCTAGGGAAGGAAATGCATGAGAGCAACTTCAGCATCTAAGGGAAGTGGATAGTAGTGAAAAAGAATCTTTGAGAAGTATTGCATAGTGTCAAGCATATAGCAGTTGTTAAGATTTTTTTTCATAAACTGAAGTCTACCAACTGCCTGTCACAAGCCTATATAATACATGGTCCCAACTCCAACCCAATACTGTTCACTTCACCTCTTCAGTTCTTCTCACCTACGAAATCAAAATTTCAATGGAATGAATCTCATAAAGATAGGCAGTTGAATAAATAATTTAAAGTGATTCTTTTGGCATTAATGGTTTAAAGATACATGACTCTCAGTAGAAAAAATGGTATTTTCTAAGTTTGTTTCCCTTTGAATTTGATGAAAAGTATGGAGTTAAGAGTATTCAACAAGGTCAGCAGTAAAGTTAAAATTAAAAGTTGACAGTTACTAATAAGATGGCAGACTAGGAGGTTCCCAGCCCTCATTCCCACATAGAAAAAAAGATTTGGCAACCATCCACAAACAAAAGGATCATTGTGGGAGCTTCAAAATCCAGGTAGGAAGTTGCAATACCCCAGTAGAGTACTGCACTGAGGAAAGACACTTTTAAGAAAGCAAGCCCATGCTCTGGTAGCAGGCCTGCTAAATACAGACCCAGCTACAGATCCAGGAGCAGCCCAATCCCCCTATGGATGTGGCTCCAGCCCCACTCAGCTGTGGTCACATACCAACCCTGCCCACCTGCAGACCTGGTAGGAAGCACACCCACTTGGGACCCAAGTAACAGACCTGCCCACTGCAGACCTGGAAGCAACCCCATGACCAACTCCAACTGCTCAACCATGGTCCTGGAGGCAGTTTCATCCACCCAGGGACCTGGGAGGAGGCACAGCAATCTGTGCCCCAAGTAGTAGGCCTGCCAGCTATGGACCCAGAAGTAGCCCCATGACCTGGCCCTGGCACTGCTCAACTGCAGTCCTGGAGGAATGCCCTCCATCTGGTGACCTGACAGGAATATGTCTTTACCTGCCAAAAATAGCCTCTAAAGAATGAAAGAGGTTCCTGCTCCTTCAAATGCACAGACACCAACACAAAGCTATAAGGATCACAAAGAATCAGGCAAACATGACACCAGCAAAGGAAATTAATAAACTTCCAGTAACCAACCCTAAAGAAATGGAGATCTATGAACTGCTTGATAAAAAATTCTAAAAACTCATCTTAAAGAAGCTCAATGTGCTAAAAGAGAACACAGATAGATAACTAAAGAAAACCAGGAAGACAATACCTGAGAAAAATGAGAAGTTGAAACAGAAACCACATACACAAAAAAACCCCCGGAAACCTAGAGCTGAAGAATACAATGATTGAACTGAAAAATTCAGTAACTTCAACAGAAGAATCAATCAAGCAGAAAAGAATCAGCAAACTTGAAGATAGATCATTTAAAATTATTCATTTAGAGGAACAACAACAAAAAGAATGAAAAAGAGTGAAGAAAGCCACGGGACTTATGGGATACCAATAAGGAACCAATATATGCATTATGGGAGTCCCAGAAGAAAAAGAGAGAGAGAGAAAGGAGCCAAAAACTTATTTAAAGAAATAATGGTTGAAACACCCCCAATCTAGGGATGGAAATGGACATCCAGATTCTTGAAGTGAAAAAGGCTTCAAAAAAATTGAACCCAAAGGGGTCTTCATGAGACACATTATAACTAAATTGTCAAAATTAAATTGTCAAAGACAAAGAGAATTATCACAGCAATGAGAGGAAAATGACTTGTCAAATACAAAGGAGTGTAAAAGGAATAGCCCATAAGACTATTGGTGGATTTTTGAGCGAAACTCTGCAGTCCAGAAAAGAGTGTGATTAAAAAACTGCCAACCACAAATATTTTACCTGGCAAAACTGCCTTTAAGCATGAATGAGAGATAGAAACTTTTCTAGACAAACAAAAGCTGAGGGAGTTCATCACATTAGATCTGCCTTACAAGGAGTGCTAAAGGGAGTTCAAGTTAAAACAAAAAAATGCTAAACAATAACATGAAAGCATATGAAAGTATAATTCTCACTACTAAAGGAAATATAAAGACCAACACCATACTGTAATACTGTAATGGTGACACATAAAGCACTTGTAATACTAGCATATAAAATAAAGACAAAAGTAGTAAGAATAACTATAACCACTGAAATTTGTTAATGGAAACATAATACAGAATGAAGTAAAACTGGCATCAATTGATGAAGTGTGTGTGAGAGAGAAGAAGTAAAGAATATACTTTCTGTATGCAATTGAAGTTATTAGCTTAAAAGAGACGGTTATAACTATAAAATGTTTAAAGCAAGCCCAGTAGTAACCACAAAAATAAAAAGTCTAATAGATACAACAAATAGAAAGAGAAAAGACTCAAAGGATACTACTACAAAAAAATCATCAAACAATAAAGCAAGGCAAGCAAAGAAGAGAGGAACAAGAGAACTACAAGACAGAAAATAATTTAAAAATGGCAATAGTAACTCCTTTCCTATCAATAATTATTTTAAAATAAATGGACTTAGTTCCTCAATCAAAAGACAGAGAGTGACTGAATGGATAAAAAAATAAGACAATCACATGCTGTCTACAAGATACACACATTAGATTTAAGGACATATAGGCTAAGAGTGAGAGGGTGCAGAAAGATATTCCATGCAAACGGTAACCAAAAGAGAGTAGGAGTCACTATATCAGACAAAACAGACTCTAAGTCAAAAACTGTCATGAGACAAAGATCATTATATAATGATAAAAGGGTCAGTTCAACAGGAAGATATAACAATTAAAAACATATATCTGCACCCAACAACAAATATAAACCTATAGTATATAAATATTTATTAATATGTAAAGCAAACATTGAAAGAGCTGAAAAGAGAAATAAACAGCAATACAATAATAGTAGGATTGTTCAATACCCAACTCTCTATAATGGATAGATCATCCAGACAGAAAAAATCAATAAGGGAACAGCCAGATTGAACAACATAACAGACCAAATGGAAACTAAAGACATATATAGAACATTCCACCCAACAGCAGCAGAACACTCATTCTTCTCAAGTGCATATGAAATATTCTCCAGTATAGATCACATACTAGGTCCCAAAACAAATGTTAACAAATTTAAGAAGATTAGAATCATTGCAAGTATCTTCTGATCACAAGGTAACAAAATGAGAAACGAATAATAGAAAATTAGAAAATTCATAAATACATAGAAGTTTTAAAAACACACTCTGGACCATTTGAGGCAAAATGGCAGGGTGAACTGACACAGGACTCTCTCCCCTCCAAACTACAACAAAGGACTGGAAAAAAACTGAATTTCAGCTAAGAAGCCTAATGCCAGGATGTCAGAGACCTACAGTATCAAAAAGACAGAGGACGGAGACCCTGCTGCCGGCCTTGGAGAAGCTGGAACAGGGTAGGAGAGAACTTCGCTCCCTCCCGGAGAGTCTGGGATCACTGCCACGGGTGTGGGAAGGAGCGTGGGAGGGGTCGCGCGACCGGGGAATCATCCAGGACTCCCACTGCCGGTATAGTGGAAACCCACTGATAGGGGAAACCTTCCATGCGCGGGGACCCCATAAACCCAGGGCCCCGGGAGACCAGAGAACAGAACTGATCCGAATTCAGATCGGCGCACGAGAAAAACAGCCCCTCCCCCCAGCAAACTGTATGGGGCGCCGCCATCTTGCCCGAAGGTGGAGAGCTCAGAACGCGCAGCTCTAGACCCCCATCTAGTGGCAAGAGGTTGTAACTGCAACCAAATTCTACCATCATGCAAAAAAACTGCTCCTCTACCATCCAGCAATTTATAAAAGCTCCAGACCAGAAGGAAAACAATAAAAACACAGAATTAAGTCCTGAGGACTTAGAAATAGGTAAACTAAGTGATAATGAGTTCAGAGTAGCTATAAACAAAAAACTCAATGAGGTAGAGAGATAGAGAAACAAGCCAACGAGTTCTGGAGTTACTTCCCAAAAGAGACTGAAATTATAAAGAAGAATCAAACAGAATTACTAGAGATGAAAAACACAATGGACCAGATAAAACAGAATACGAATTCCCTGAATGCCCGTGTAGACACCATAGAGGAGCAAATTAGCATAATCGAAGATAGACAGGCTGAATGGCTCCAGACAGAGGAAGAAAGAGAACTAAGAGTTAAAAAAAATGAGGAAAATCTCTGAGAGATAGCAGATTCAATGAGGAGAAAGAATCTAAGGATCATAGGAATTCCGGAGAACGTGGAAAAGGAAAATGGAGCAGAAAGTGTGCTTAATGAAATTACAGAAGAGAACTTCCAAAATCTAGGGATTGAGGGACAAATGTGTTTAGAGGAAGATTTCAGCTCTCCTAGATTTGTCAATGTAAAAAGACCTATTGCAAGGCATATAGTAGTACAAATAGCAAAAATAAAAGACAAAGAAGGAATACCCAGGGCAGCAAGACAGAAGAAAATAACCTACAAAGGAACTTGTATCAGACATTCAGCGGATTTCTCTACAGAAACCTTACAAGCTAGGAGAGAATGGAGTGACATATTCAAAACTTTAAAAGATAAAAATCTTCAGCCAAGAATACTCTATCCAGCAAGAATATACTTCAGATCTGAGGGAGAAATTAAATTTTTTCCAGACAAACAAAAGTTAAGGGAATTTGTAACCAAAAGTCCTCCACTACAAGAAATCCTCAAGAAGGCTCTCATACCTGAAAAAAGAAAAAAGGGAGAAACGGGTCACAAACCACAGAGTAGGGAGACAGATAAATAGAAGCAGAATAGGATAGCAAATATTCAACTATAGCATTAGGATAAAGGTAAGGAAACTACCAAAGCAAATACAATCTTATCACTCTAACTACAAACTCATAACACGAGTTGTAATAAGAAATGAAAATAATAATTCAGGAGGGGAACAGCAAAGGGACTAAATCAGTCTAGGCCAAGTAAGTAAGAGACCACCAGAGAATAGACTATATTATACACAAGATTCTAAATACAAACTTCAGGGTAGCCACTAAACTAAAAAACAGAACAGAGCCACAAAACATAAATAAGGAAAAATCTAAGAAACCCAGCATAAGAAATTGCAGTAGTCAATGGGTAGGCTAAAGCACACAGGAAGAGAAACACAGGAAAACCAGATAACGAGCAACAGATTGACAGCATTAAATCCACATGCATCAATAATCACTCTCAATGTAAATAGATTGAACTCTCCAATAAAAAGACACAGAGTGGCAAAATGGATTAAACAACAAGATCCAACAATTTGTTGCCTCCAGGAAACACACCTCAGACCCAAGGACAAACACAGGCTTAGAGTGAAGGGGTGGAGAACAATACTTCAAGCTAATAGCAAGCAAAAAGAAAGCAGGTGTTGCAATTCTTATATCAGACAAAGCGGATTTCAGAATAAGACATGTAAAGAGATACACAGAGGGACAATATATAATGATCAAAAGGACACTTCTTCAAGAAGGAATAACGCTTATAAATATCTATGCACCCAATATAGGAGCACCAAGGTTCATAAAGCAACTATTAACAGACCTAAAGAAAGATGTTAAAAACAACACAATAATACTAGGGGACCTCAACACCCCACTCACATCAATGGACAGATCATCCAGACAGAAAATCAACAAAGAAATAGTGGAGCTGAATGAAAAACTAAAACAATTGGACTTAATAGACATATATAGATCACTCCACCCTGAAAGAGCTGAATACACATTCTTCTCAAGTGCACATGGAACATTCTCAAGGATAGACCATATGTTGGGAAACAAGGCAAGCCTCTACAAATTTGAAAAAATTGAAATAATAACAAGCATCTTCTCAGATCATAGTGCTATAAGGCTAGAAATTAATGACAAGAAAAAAGCTGAGAAAGGGACAAAGATGTGGAGACTAAACAACACACTACTGAACAAGCAATGGATCATTGAAGAAATTAAAGAAGAAATAAAAAAATACTTGGAAACAAATGAAAATGATAACATGCCATAACAACTCATATGGGATGCAGCAAAAGCTGTATTAAGAGGGAAATTCATCACAATACAGGTACACCTCAACAAACAAGAAAAATCCCAAATAAGCAATCTTAAACTACACCTCACTGAACTAGAGAAGGAAGAACAAATAAAGCCCAAAGTCAGCCGAATGAGAGAAATAATAAAAATCAGAGCAGAAATAAATACTATTGAAACGAAAAAGGTGGTAGAAAGGATCAATGAAACAAAGAGCTGGTTCTTTGAGAAGATAAATAAAATTGGGAAACCCCTAGCCAGACTTACAAAGAAAAAAAGAGAGAAAGCTCAAATAAACAAAATCAGAAATGAAAGAGGAGAAATAACAACAGACTCTGCAGAAATACAACAGATTATAAGACAATACTATGAAAAACTCTGTGCTAACAGAATGGATAATCTACAGGAAATGGATAAATTCTTGGACTCCTACAATCTCCCAAAGCTCACTCAAGAAGAAGCAGACAATTTGAATAGACCAATCACAAGGAAAGAGATTGAAATAGCAATCAAATACATCCCAAAGAATGAAACCCCAGGACCAGATGGCTTCCCTCAGGAATTCTGCCAAACATTCAGAGGGGATTTAATACCTATCCTTTTCAAGCTATTCCAAAAAATTAGGGAGGATGGAACACTTCCTAACACATTCTATGAGGCCAACATCACGCTGATACCAAAGCCTGACAAGGACACCACGAAAAAAGAGAACTACAGCCCAATATCACTGATGAACATAGATGCAAAAATTCTCAACAAAATTTTGGCAACCAGAATTCAGCAATTCATCAAAAGAATCATACATCAGGATCAGGTGGGATTCATACCAGGGACACAGGGATGGTTCAACATCCGCAAATCAATCAACGTGATACACCACATCAACAAACTGAGGAATAAAAACCACATGATCATCTCAATAGATGCAGAGAAGGCATTTGACAAGATCCAACAGCCATTTATGATAAGAACTCTGAAGAAAATGGGCATAGAAGGGAACTACCTCAACATAATAAAGGCCATATATGACAAACCCAGAGCCAACATCATACTCAGTGGGCAAAAACTGAGCGCCATCCCCGTGAAAACAGGAACGAGACAAGGATGCCCTCTATCACCACTCTCATTTAACATAGTACTGGAGGTCCTGGCCAGAGCAATCAGGCAAGAAAAAGGAATAAAAGGAATCCAAATAGGGAGGGAAGAAGTGAAACTCTCGCTGTTTGCAGACGACATGATCTTACATATAGAAAACCCCAAAGAATCCATTGGAAAACTCTTAGAAGTAATCAACAACTACAGCAAAGTTGCAGGGTATAAAATCAATTTGCATAAATCAGTACCATTTCTATACTCTAATAACGAACTAACAGAAAAAGAACTCAAGAACACAATACCATTCACAATCGCAACAAAAAGAATAAAATACCTTGGGGTAAATTCAACTAAGGAAGTGAAGGACCTATATAATGAAAATTACAAGGCCTTTCTGGGAGAATTGGATGACGACATAAGGAGATGGAAAGACATTCCATGTACATGACTTGGAAGAATAAACATAGTTAAAATGTCCATTCTACCTAAAGTAATCTACAGATTCAACGCTATCCCAATCAGAACCCCAATGACATTCTTTACAGAATTAGAACAAAGAAT